TGTGCATCATGTGTTAATCACCTTAATGTAGCCATGATCAGAATCTTTACTAATAACGATATAAACATCAGATATTTTAAGCTAGTTCGTTGATGAGTGAAATAAATAGTTCAGTGCACAACACATTGAATATTTGAAATGTAAAATGTTTCTGGGTTGCAGTCTCAATATGCTGGTACACTAGCTATTTCTGAATAGAACGAAATGCATATATTGAGTTTTTCTGTTATCTACAATTCATCTATTTTATTAAAATCACATTTTTATTTTGTCGGTTAACTGACAACACTTCGATTTCATTTGGGGGTGGGTGGACAGTTGGGATTGAAAGCCACTAAGCAATGGATGATAATGGTCTTTGTCGTATTCAGAAAGGTTTCCACGGAATACGTCCACATTCCAATCGTTAGTAATGTCTATTTATAATGACAACTATATACTAATTAAAAAATAGTCTTTGTAATTTCTTTAATCAAACTATAATAATTTCATGTCAATGAAGTAGTTCAATTGAGCTAAGAACTTGAACGAAATCTTTAGATAATCATAACAAGATTACCATCAATTAATAACCAACCAATACTAGTGTAATTGGTCCTATGGACCTTATTTATAGTATGCATTACGAATAATAACTGTAGTTAGACGATCATTCACACTAAGGAGCACTAAATAACTGTTCCATTCCAATTGCGTATTCACAACACACCCGGGCATCTTACCTAGGACCTTAAAGGCATACGACATCAAATTTCAACTAATTCATGATATTGTTTTCTACTTTGGCCTGAAATTCTGTTTGTTCTCCACTTTTCAACTATACTACTAACAATAATAATAACCCCATTAATATCTTTCTTTTTTTAAGTAAAATAACTTATCATGATAGGATGGTAAGTTCATATTGGTAAATCACTTTCAATGTGTCTGTAGGTATATTTATGTTGGTTTGTGTGTGAATGTGCATGACAAAAGTTTCTCTTCGAGATTCTGTGATGTAATAATAATAATGATAGTGATAACAAAAAGGTTAATAATGACAACCTTTATAATGTTAAATGTTCTAACTGATTTTATAAATGATCTTGTTATTCAGCATGTATTATGTTTGTTTATGCTTCAATTGTGTTCTTCAGTGTTTCCTCTATGGAATGTTTGTAATTTATGTGAATAACTCTTTGTACCTGTGTAATGTTAACCCTATTGAAATGAGTTTATTATTACTATTATTAATTATGATGGTTACTAGAATTCTGTGAATAATAATAATAACCAGGAATTTGTATTTGAACAAGTTTTCCTCATCTAATGTTTCTAAATACGATCTGTTGCTTCTTTTTCTATATTTACTCATTTATTTACTTGTCTATGCAAATGTTAATCAATTATCTGTACAGTTAGTAGTTAAGGTTATTATCATCAGGAACTAATATTAGTCTGCAAACAATATTGGAAGAACCTAGAAGTGATGGATAACTAATTTTGAGATAGTTCAAGAAGTCTGCTTTCGATATTTTTCTATTTGGATAGGTCTTCTTTCCATACCCTTGTCCAACCAATTATCCTAGTCAAAATAATGAGAAATGATTATGAACCTTTAACTGACAAAACTGAATAAGTAGTTACATAGATCATTGATAAACATAAGTTTGTCCCTCTGATTAAGACAAGGAAATGTTGTCGAAGACCTTGACCACGGGGATAATCGAATTTTTTTCAATAAAATATCTAGCTGATAATTTGTTGCCTACCCTTCGGCTTTGAAATTGCATTTCAATACAGGCGCGTAACATGCCTAAAGTACACCAACTTGTCAATTTTACTCTGTAATTAGAAGATAACACATGTTTGTTTAACTATCATGAGATTTATGGTACTTCTCATCCTTCACATTTCTGGTCAAATAAATTAGGAAGCTTTTAAGATTACTTATATCAAGTCACAGTTAATTGACGTCATGAATCAACCATGGTTAGACAATGAATAAACATATACAAGTCTAATTAACGATGATTAAAATGCCAAATTTTATAGCTTTTTACTAAAGTAACAGGCCCTATTCAAACAATCGAATAAATTATGAATGACCATTGTTGACAATTGCTTTAAACTATAGTCATATACAAAGGTGAATATTGACTAGCAGTGGAATCGCTTCAAACGCTATCGCGTTATCCACTTAGCAACTAAGTCCTGATAGCCACTTACAGTTATGTGTGTTAAATGTTTTCCGGTTTCTAATACTTGGTTAGTCATTGATTAACTGTTTTTTTTAATATATTGGCGTAGTTAATTTATCTTATAAAAATATTAATAATTATTGAATAAAGATGTGAATTGAGAAGACATCTTCCAAGTGAATGTTGATTCATTAGACCAAAAACAGTAACCAAATGTACTTCCATTCATATTCTACATGTATAGTTATTTATTTGAACATATAAATATTGGTACAAAGGGGCATCAGATATATATGCGCCATACAATAATAATGAGAATGTGAAGAGATAAATAATGTAAGGTGCGTATAGGGAAAAAGGAATAATAACGAACAAAGATAAGTGTAGTTTAGTGAAGTGATAATAATGGGAAAGTTCAACTACAGTCTGACCGATGTTGCCGGGGCAGCGGGCCAGTTGAACTGCTCTTCGAAGAATTCTGCCCATCCTCCAAGACGTTGATGGATGTTGGTGATTGGCATCCCGTCAGCCTCACAGATTGTTTCTCTCACACCAGTGAATCGGATGAGTTGGAAGAACTTTCGGTTGTTATATACAGCTGCTGTTTCCAGCTCATGGCACGCTCCGATCACCAGGCTTCTCGGTCCTTATGCAAGCTCTGCTCGATTTCATTACGTAACAGCCATCATTGGCCACCTAAATGACTCTTTTGTGTCTAGACGCCCGACATGAGCATTCATATCTCCGGCGGGTACTGCAATATCTGTAGAAGGGCTGTTAGCTGGTAACAAAACTCATCATTGATCGTATCCGGTCTGAAATCTGTCGGAGCATAGACGGAGATAACTAAAAGACATCATTTCTCACACCGATCTCTCACTTTGATGGAACTTTCTAATCTAACAGCACATAACCAACTGTTACTTCACTAGAGGCCTGAATACGGGTATCGGGTAGATAACAAACATCGATATTAAGAATTTCTACGGACATATCCAACACTATCTGTTGTCCGAACTGCATCAGTGTGTGAACGCTGAAGGAAGCCAGTTTCAATGGTATACGTGGTTTCATAAAGACTGTTTTGGTATTCGTATTCGGTGGTTTCAGTCAATTTTCGACCGCTCAGTGACTGAAGATCATTAGAGAGAACAGTGTTTCCACCATAGGCGAGCTGCTGTATAAGTTGAAAAATAAGGACACACAGAGTGGGAATAACGGAAAGTAGGTAATTGACGTAGTATAAAGAAAATAAGTTTTAATCGAGGGGAGAATAGTATTTCCAGTAATTAATTTCATTTTATTTAAGTGTGAGCTGTGATACTGCCCGGGTGCCAAGACCGAAGCAGGTGGTTTTCTTGGGGTCTACACCCGGAGCTTTTGACCTTAAGGTCAAATCTACAAAGCAGTTTAGCAACGTCAGGAGATGCAGCGCCATGGTTGCCGGTGACCAATGATTGGTTCATACGCCATTTGTTCCCTCAGGATACTTAAGTCCATGTTCATGTGTTTGGAATCAGGGTTATCCAACTCCACTAGGTGAGCTCTCCGTGTCCGCAAACCTGGTTAAAGCGCCAGACATTCCCTTTTCGTCCTCTCACTTTCGTAAACAACAGTAGTGACGCGAGAAGGTAGTGAGTATGACTTCCCTGGCAGTGGTTTTATGCATTTCAAGAGATAGAGCTGACTTTCCTGTCTCGGCCGTACCAGGGCATGTATATATTACATAACTATATACAAATATGTCGGTTTCTTTTCATTGAATGAATTTAACCTTCAAAACATGAAATTTTTATGCTTGTATTATTATTATATTTAGTGCGTAATCTATGTTAACTTAATTACGTTTTATGTTTTATACTACTAATAGACATACAAAGTTTAAACTCATGAATTCCTTAGAGTAGTGATACTCCTTTTATTTTAGCATATTTTCAACGGCGTGTTCTTCTAAAGAATGCATTATTTGTCAAGTATTTAACGGTGTATTTGTTGTCATCATCTTGTATCTTTGAAAACGTTGAGTATATGTATATATGTTGCTTATTTTAATATGATCGACAAATGGATTAACCGCACTATTTGGTGCTTTCATGATATTAATTCACAAACAAATCTGAATTGTGTAAAGTGAAAACGAAGTCCGTAGGTAGAATAGGATGTTTATGTATAACACACATCTCTTTACAATACAGTCCTACAGGATATATGTGTATATACATGATTTTAGTTAATCAATATTGTGAATGAAGATTTTTCTAATAATGAATGCTGCACTTTAAATCTAAATCCTACATTGCATCAGTTTTGAACCATCCTTGGTAGTCCTTCTTCTTGCATCTCTATTGAATATGAACATATAATTGAAATAATTGATTCTTTTATATACTCTACAGATCCTTTTGATTTTCTTTTTATTCTTCAATAATTCGTAAACTATTTCCAGTTATTTTGAATGTCAATGTCATCGTTTCTGTGTTCTGTGAATGATGCCGTGTATGGTCAGTTTTTATACATCTGTCATGTGTATCTGTAGAGATTTACCGATGAGTTATTTATCCAATTTATCTTGTTTTTGTCAAGTACATATTTTTGTACTTCACTTCAAGATTTACTCCAAAATGTATCACAGTTAGTTGATACTACAATCCGAATTTGTTTGGTCAATGAAGAGAGCATATTCCAAACTTGCGGTTTAAAATCTGATAGTTCATAGTGCATGCTTGTTTGTTTGTTTGTTTTTGTCCACTAAATATTTGAAAAGGAACTATTTCTATTTCTTTGAAATGTATATTTATAAAAGCTTTTTTTTATTTTTAGTTGCTTTAGGCTCTATACTTGGAATATTAATATTCCTTTTGGCCACTCTTCTTGTTGTTTATAGTCTACGGCATAAGTAAGTTAAAGTTTTTTTATTATTTATATTTGTGTATTGATGTGGGATGTAACGCTGTATAATGGTTGATATGTCAGTATATATATATATATATATATATATATATATATATATATATATATATATATATATATATATATATATATATATATATATATATATATATATATATATATATATATAAGTGAATATCTAGTATAATTCTTTAACATTAATTATTTACCGACACCATTTATTATTGTTATATTTAATACTTGAATAATGTATACTGATTCTCTAACCTTTTTCTAGTCCTTCTACATAGAAATGTTATACACTTATCACTTAAACAGAATCTGGAAAGTGAGCGGTGTCGAATGAACAGTTAAATCCTGTGGTTTATATATGACGATAATATCTTCGGAGCATCTAGGTAATCATGCATAATGCGTTGTTTTCGCAGAACTTCCTGAGAAGATTCCATTAAATACCGACTGCAAGAAATATACTTTTTAGCCATTTCCTAGGTAGTGATGAATTTCTACCAGCAATTTCTGTGCCATTAAATGTTCATTTACTTTATCGTAGTCAAATAAGATTATTGCTATGAATAACAAAATTTACCGAACTTTCAATAATATGATTGTTGGTAAGCAAAGCACAAATGTTGTAAGATGCAGCTGAAGAAGTAACTGGGGATCTGATGAAAAAGCAATACGATAAATGACAGAGATCATAAAGATTCGCAGCACTGTAGTTAATTTCATGTCATGACGCTTGGTGTCTATAACCATTAGTTACGTTTGTCTTATTGACCCTAACTAAGCTCTATTCAGCTTACAACTGACTGATTGTTAAGTAACAGCCAATCTCGCATTTGCGCGATCTTATAATGTTGGTGGATTTCTGTTAACTATGACGTTGGTTTAAATCCCACAAGTAATATCAGTTTCCTACAAAGATTACATATATGCCTTACTGGCGAGTGTCGTATAACACATAACCTAGGTCAAAGAAGATTTCCTATTGACTATCTTCAACTAACTCGAACAGTCTCCGCCTACTAACACAATTCAAATCAATAATCGCTAATAAATTACTCGATTGATATCACGTGTTAAATTAATCCTCTTTACTTTATTCCCAATCTGTTTTCGTATGCGCGTTTTACTTTTTAATATAGAATCATCTAGGTTATCCTTCATCGTATTTTTCTTTTTAGATTATTTGAACATTATCATAAAACTATTGATCTAGCTGCAATTTCATCGTCAAATCGTCTTGGTTCCTGTTCATTGGGAACATTTAGTAGATCTAAAGATACTTTATTATTTCCAACATGTAAAAAATCTCTCATGTCATTTCATAATAATAGTAACAACAACAACAACCATAATCACACTATTTTCACCAATGGTAATCTCTTCAAATCTTATCCACATTTATTGAGTCATAATACAATCAATGAAAGTTTCCCAGATCTTTTGAATACAGCACAACAACAACAAACATTTTTACTTCATTCATCAACTGTTTCGGGTGTGAATAGAAAACCGTCAAATATTGACTTTATTACAGATGGTCATTTACCACCATGGCGTAATTCTTTTATGAAAAGAAATCAAAAAACTCCTACTGCTATTTCAGCATTAACATTGGTACCAAATACACCGAGTTCAGATCGTCGACAGATTATGAATTCCTTACCATGGCTACGGACAAATTCCACATCTCATATTAGCAGTACTAATGGTGCTCCCTCTACCTTTAATCATAATACTAATCATACTAATAGTACTACTAATACTAATAAGAATAATAACCATTCAAGGTTTGGAGCATCTAGTGAAACAATTCTATTTTCGTCATTGAATCCACCGAATGGTATGCCACGTTCATGGTGGTTACCATGGCGTAGAAGTATGCGAAAAAAACGTCGACTATATACACAGTTACAAAGACGTCAGGAAATTCAATCATTATCTCAACGTGGTCTTTTAGAATCATCTGGTAGTTTTTTAGGGAAATCCACTCCACAATTACCAAATAATCGTCATTTAATGACATCATCAAATAATAGTGGGCTATTGGTCAATGATCATGTTTCAAGATTTGGTACAACTGCTGAACCATCATTACCTGCGATACCTATATCATCATCGCCATCATCAACATCATCGTTATCAAACAAGGAAGAATTGATTCATCAACATCCATACTCAAATCACATTTTTTTAAGATCGGAAAGATCTGGGAGTGAAAGAACACGACAAAGTACAAAGACGTTGATCACGACAACAGACAACGGTAGTAATTCCGGGATAGTTAGCGCTTTATACGCAAATGATGATCAAGCGAATTCACCAATTTATACAAAGTATCTTATGAATTTGCAAAATAATAATAATAATAGTAATAGAGACATTACATCACCGTCTATTTATCCCAAGACTAATTCAAATATACAATCTATTTCATGGATCAATGTGAATGATAATGATTTACCATGGAAATTTACACCACCAAGTAGAAATAGTTTTAGTAATGGTATTCGACGATTATCATCATTTTTTCGTAGTTTTAATCAAAGTAACGGATCATTTACACCACCAAGATATCATAATAACAATAATAGTAATAGTTATGGATTATCTTATAAAAAATCATCTTTAAGGTCTTCATCATTCAATACATCACGTACAGAGATGATGCCATCAATGCCAGTATTACCTACATTTAATTATTTGACTACATCAAATAATAATAATAATAATAATAATAATAATAATAATAATAATAATAATAGTGGTGGTAATATTGTACCATTGACCAGTCATTATCCGGTTAATAAACAACATTTTGATTCATTTCGATTACATGGTCGTCATGTTACTCATCCGTTGATGCAACCAGCTTTACAATCAATGTCAGGTAGGTAACATAGTTTTCGTTAACATTTTCGGTGAAAGGTTTACACTACTTGCAAATAGTCATTCAGTAACTATTGTAGTTATCCCCTTTGCGTTCAATATTGATTGACCTGTATTTCCAATTCATGTTTAATTGTTGCTATAGAAGGTTATTACAGATTATTGAATCTCATGGATTATATCATGGACTACTACTAATAATAATTATATGGTCGCTTGGGAGTCGTTAGGTGAGGTACCTCTTGGGATATCCAGCGAAAATCTGTGGCAAGTGGCATTAAACTATGTCGGTTGTGAGACCCTGATCAATGGTTGCGTAATGTCTCGAATTAGTGTGAAGTTAAGCATGTAAATAACTAGATACCGACGCGGTTGTGTGATGGTTAGCCACCTGCTGCGAGATCTGAATGTCTTGGCTTTCATTTGCAACTGGATCATGGATGCACACTACTGAGGAGTTACATATTAGGATGAAATAATTATTCAACACTCTACTTTCTAATGATTATCTCATTGAAATGTTGTCGAATTGTTTGCCTTCCCAAGAGGAGCAATTGGAATTCAATGACGTGAAATCACCCAGGAAGTGTTAATGATATGCACTCAACTTCCTTTATTAGTAAATCACATATTAATAGTCGCATAAAATTTGTCAAAGGTGAATACCTAGGTTTTATGTGGCCGAAGATGTGGCGCATATTCTTAGCCAACAGTATTTCTAAAACAGGTTAAAAACAGCTTGTGGTTATTATCATAACATAAACAACCAGTGGAACTTACTTAATTACTTACTTACGCCTGTTACTCCTCGTGAAGGAGCATAGGCCGCTCACCAGCATTCTCCATCCAACCCTGTCCTGGGCAATCCTCTCCAGCTCTTTCCAGTTGTTATTCGTCCTTTTCGTATCTGCTTCTATTTACCGATGTAGTATGTTCTTTGACCTTTCTCTTTTCCGCTTCTCGTGATGCATTCTGATGGTTTTCGTAATGTATGTCCTATCAATTTCCACCGTTTTTTCCTAATTTCTTCTTCAGCTGGAAGTTGGTTTGTTCTCTCCCACAGAAGGCTAATGCCGATGGTATCCGGCCAATGGATGTTGAGTATCTTGCGTAGACAGTAATTTATAAATACTTGTACCTTCTTGATTGTGGTTGTTGTAGTTCTCCAAGTTTCAGCTCCATACAGTAGAACTGCCTTGACGTTCGTATTGAAGATTGTGACTTTGATATTGGTTGAAAGTTGTTTTGAGTTCTATATGTTCTTCAATTGTAGGAATGCGGCCCTTGTTTACCAATCCTTTTCTTCTGCATCTGAGCCTCCTTGTTCATCGATGATGCTTCCTAGATATGTGAACGATTCCACATCTTCCAGAGTTTCATCATCAAGAGTGATTGGATTGCTGTTCGCTTTTTTGAATTTGAAGACCTTGGTTTTCCCTTTGAGTATGTTGAGGCCCATTGATGCAGAACCTGCTGCTACATTAGCTGTCTTCATCTGCATCTGTTCGTGTGTATGCGATATGAGGGCTAGGTCATCTGCGAAGTCCAAATCGTCTAATTGATTTTGAGCTGTCTATTGTATTCCGTGTTTTCCTTCAGATGTTGAGGTCCTCATAATGCAGTCGACCACCAGAAGAAAAAGGAAGGGAGAGAGTAAACAGCCTTGTCTGACTCCGGTCCTTAATTGGAATGCATCTGTCAGCTGTCCTCCATGCACGACTTTGCATTGTAGTCCGTCGTATGGGTTCCGGATAATATTGACAATCTTCTCAGGAACTCCGTAGTGTCGAAGAAGTTTCCATAACGTCCTTTTATCCACACTGTCAAATGCCTTTTCGTAATCAATGAAGTTGATATATAGTGATGAGTTCCACTCAACTGATTGTTCGACGATGATCCGTAGTGTTGCAATTCGGTCTGTGCACGACCGATCCTTACGGAATCCAGCTTGTTGATCTCGAAGTTGGGCGTCTACTGCATCTTTCATCCGGTTCAGCAACACTCTGTTGAAGACCTTTCCTAATATTGACAGTAGTGTAATGCCTCTAATTTCCACATTTGCTCAGATCTCCTTTCTTTGAAGTCTTGACGAGGTCCCCTTCTTTCCAGTCCATCGGCACTTGTTCCTCCTCCCAAATGTTTTTGAATAGAAGGTAAAGCATGTTTGTAGTTACTTCGATGTCTGACTTCAGTGCTTCAGCTGGTATTTTGTCCGGTCCCGCTGCTTTCCCGTTCTTGATTTGTCTGACGGTCATTCTGATTTCTTCCTTCGTTGTTGGGTTGACGTCTATGGGAAGATCTGTGTGTACCGCTTCGAAACTGATTAATTAGATTAAGTAAAACCAATAGTAGTGAGTCAGTGACGAAATAAACAACCACTCATTGTTTTTGTTTAGGACCCATATTGTATTGTTTATCTCATATTAAAAGGATTTAGCTGAAGCTTTACAGTACGTTTGAAGTAGTTCACATTATCTTGTCAATGATACGTCCACTGTAGAGACGCCCCAGTTCTCTTTATGATAACTACCATCAATTAATATCGTTTATCAATTGAAGTTGGTTAGGCGCTCAACGCAAGACCTCAGGCTCCTGGGATCCTATAGCCTCACTGTTTAGTTGTCACATACTAAAAAGAAACATCTGTCTATCCAGTGTTTCCTTGTTTTCATTGGATTTTTTACTCAGGTCAGTACTTGTCTTAAACTATAAAATTCGATCATTTTCTTGTTTTCAGAACAAGCACAAGTTATATCTTTTCATTTTATGTTTTGTCCCTCTTCTCTCTTCATTCCACTAACAGAATCGAAGGATTTACATAGAAAACATAATTATATCGAGAATATGTGGAGTACTCAAACAGTAAAACCATCATTATTTCATCAAGATGCTTATCAACACCAAAATCACCATACTATGTATAGCAGTGGAGATGAACATACTACCATCAATGAAATGTTATCACGGAACACAACAAAAACTAGTTTACAAGGAAGTAGTCGAATAGATTCCTTACTATCTACAGAATTGATTGATTTATGCAACAATAACAATGGGTGTAGTAATAATAATAATATTGTAAAGAATGATCCATTGGCTAAATTAAATTCTACTTCAGTGACAGTAAAACAAGCGGCACCGACTTCAATGTACAATAGTTCATTAAATTATAATAAATTTGATTATATTGAAAAAGATGAATTAAATCATTTACCATATCTAACAACTGATCCATATTTGGAACCTGTTTCATTGAAACGAAGACAACAACAGGAAAAACAACCGGATCATTTGATAAATACAGAGAAAATCAATCTCATTGATCATTATGATGATATGGATCTCGATACAGCAGTGAATGAAAATAGTGATTTAATCAAATTAAATAGTAAGTTGCATAAGATGATGTTCAAAATAGAAATGACAGTATACTCTAAACGTGTATGATTAATATATGGAAGATTTTACAATTTTTGTGGCTTCCATCATAGAATAGACGATTACTGCATAGTACAAAGAATACTCTATTTTATTATTTATTTATTTATTTGAACACATAAATATTGGTACAAGAGAGCGCCAATATATATATACCACACAAAACAATGAAAATTCGAAGAGAGATAAAAAAAAACTAAGGAGCACAAAAGAAAAGGAGAACGATAACGAAGAGATTGGTGTAAGGTAGTGTGGTAGTAACGAGGGAACGGAAAGGTACAATCAGAAGAAATCTTTCACTTAAGCAAGAAGCAACCACTCTTTACGAAGAAAGCAAAAGAAGGTTACGGCAGGATCGCAACTTGCTTCTATTCTGAGCCATATCTGATAACGCCTCTAGCCACTGTGTAGCACCATCTCTCGGACCCCAACCAGGGAGTCGTGAAGGACCGACAGAAGTCAGTCCTTTGCAGCTTTCATTCATACCACGACACCATGTCATTCACTGACCACCTCTCCGCTTTTTCCAACCAGTCCCAGAGTCGGCAAATAATGCACGACGTGGAATTCTCTGGGACGACATTCGTAGAACATGTCCAAGCCACCGAAGTCGGTGTTTCAAGATGATGACACCAATTACATTATCATCTCTTTGCCCGAACACACGATGCCGAACCTCTGCATTACTAACATGGTGTTGCCACTGAATGTCAGCGATTCTTCGGAGACAGCGATGATCGAACACAGAGAGTCGTCTAACGTCCTCAACTCGGAGAGACCAGGTTTCACAAGCATAGAGCAAAACTGCTCTCACCGACGAGTTGTAGATCCGACCTTTTACAACCAGACTAACATCACGAAGGCGCCAAAGGTGGCCCAGATCCTTCCAGTCTTGTAGAAGTACTTTGCACTTCGAAGGTGCAAAGCATATACCATACCTACGGACACTGATTCCCAACTGATTAAGTGCGGATTGCATGCCTTGGGCATTATCGCACAGTAAGACAATATCGTCCGCATACTCAAGGTTGAGAAGTCTTTCTCCAGGCAACAGATCCACACCACCATTACTTACATTCATCAGAGCTGTTTCCAGAATGTCATCGATGGCAAAGTTGAAGAAGAATGGTGAGATTGGGCAACCCTGACTAACCCCACTGCTCGAATGGAACAATGGAGAGGGGTGGTTGTATGCCCTCACTCTACCTGAGGTGTTTTTATATAGGGCCTTTAGAATGTTTATAAACTTCTCAGGCACACCCTACTTCAATAGACAATCCCAGAGAACAGTCCTATCCAACCAATCGAAGGCAGCCCTGATGTCAAGAAACACTACGATTGTTGGCCTTTGATAAGTATGGCGGTGTTCTGACATTTGGAGGAGGGTGAAAATATGATCAATGCATCCTCGACCCGAACGAAATCCAGCCTGCTTCTCGCGAGTCAATCTTTATCGGGTTTTGAACAACCTACGAAGTATGACGGAAGCCATTAGCTTGGACGCAATCGGAAGTGGACTTATCTTCCAATAGTTGTTACAGGAACGACATGAACCCTTTTTAAACATAGGGACAACTATCGACTCATTCCATGACGTTGGTACACTCTCTAGTTCCAAAACCTTTGTTGGCAACGTCGTCAATTCCTTAGTCAGAAATTCAGCACCATCTTTAAAAAGAGTCGGATGTAAGTCATCTTTGCCAGTTGATTTGCAGCGCTTCAAGAGTTTAAGTTCCTTGCGGACTTCCTCCTCGTTTGATGGATCAGTCGTCACCGGCCATGGAGGGCAGGACAGTCTGACAGATGCTGCCGGAGCAGCAGGCCAGTTGAACTGCCCTTCGAAAAATTCTGCCCATCGTCCAAGACGACGATGGATGTTAGTGATTGGCATCCCATCATCCTCGCAGATTGTTTCACTCACACCAGACTTCTTGCTGCCAGTGGCTCGGATGAGCTGGAAGAGCTTCTGGTAGTTACCAGATGCAGCTGCTGCTTCCAGCTCATTAGCACGCTCCGACCACCAGGTTTCTCGGTCCTTACGCAAGCTTTGCCCAATTTCCTTACGTAACATCCTTCGTTCATGGTCAAACTCACGGTCACACGGAGTAGACCGACGGGCTTCATTAAGTTGTAAGGAACCAGAAGAAACCCAGTGCTTAAAAGCGGGACGTTTCGCGAACCCACAACTGACTGTACCCGCCATTTTCATGGCGTCATGCAATTGCGACCAATGCTCATCTATACCTTTCGGTTCGATACTTATTTGCAACAAAGTTGCAACCAGCTTGCTAATATCAATCCTTTGATGGCGGTCACTTCGTTGTCCACTGAAAAGTAAGGCAAGATTGGCGCAGACTAGACCATGATCAGAGTCCAGATAGGTTCTCCAAAAGGAGCGGCAGTCCTGTACACAACCACGCCAGCGGTAGCTGATCGCGATGTGATCAATCTGAGTCCAGGCTTGGGATGCAGAGGGAGGATGCCAGGTGGCACATCGGCGATGACTGTGCCGAAGGTTAGTGCTAGCGAGAAACAGGTTGTGGTCTGTGCACAGTTGCAGTAGACGGTCCTCGTTATCTGACCTGCGACCAACGAGTCCCCATCGGCCACCTAAACAACTCTCTTCTGTGCCTAGACGCTCGACCAGACGGCTAGTACTACAATATCTGTCGAACGCACTTTCTGGAGAAGAACAGATAACTGGTGGTAAAACTCATCCTTGATTGCATCCGGGCTGCAATCTGTCGGGGCATAGGCGGAGATGACGAAAAGACATCGTTTCTCACGCCGATTTCTTCTCACTTTGATGGAACTTTCTAATCTAACAGCACATAACCGACTGTTAATGGGGATTCAATCGACTAGTGCTGCCTCAGCTCTAGCGCTTAGTGCAACGCCAGCAAGACCAGACTAAGATGCCATAGGGTCCCCGGATAAGCGCACGTAAAGAAGCTTTTCGAAGCGACAGATGGAGATCGAATTTGTAGTACATCGCCAGAGTCTTGAATACGGGTCTCGGATAGACAACAAACATCAATATTAAGACTTTCCAAAGACATAGCCAGCCCTATCTGTTGTTCGACCTGCACTAGTGTGCGAACGTTGAAGGCAGCCAGTTTGAATGGTGCACGTGGTTTCAGAAAAACTGCTTCAGTTCTCGTATTCGGTGGTAACGTACAATTTTCAACCGGACAGTGACTCGAGAACGTTTAGATACAGTCGAATTTCCACCAAAGACGAGCCGCTGTATAAGTATAAAAGAGGGTGAATAATGTGGAAAATAATAATAGTAATAATAATAATAATAATAATAATAATAATAATAATAATAATGACAATAATGGTAGTAATAATAATAATAGTATTAATAATGACAGTAATAGTAATGATAATAATTTGAATCAATTGATTGTTTTTCAAAGCGAGAAAAGTAGTTTCCATAGACAGAGAGTTCATCATTTGTGTATGGGCTGTGATACTGCCCGGGTGCCCAAACCGAAGCGGGTGGTTATCTTAGGGGGCCACACCCCGAACCTTTGACCTAATGGTCTAACCCATAAGGCAGTGGAGCATCCTAAGGAGATGCAATCCCATGGTAGCCGGTGACCAACGATTGGTTCATACGCCATTTGTTCCCGCAGGATACTGGAGCCCATGTGCACCATTGGTTTGGAATCCGGTTGAAGCGCCGGACGTTCGCTTTTCGTCCTCTCATTTTCGTAAACAACACCCCCGCCACGAGAAGGCAATGAGTAGGACTTCCCTGGCAGAGCCTGTATACACGCGGCCGTGTGAGAGTATTTCGAGAGGGAGGGTGGACTCTCCCCACTTTCGGCCGTAATAGGGCGTTCGGGGGCTTTTTCATCCTGGATTTAAACTACTGAATAATTGGGAACCAGCATGATACGACGACATTCGGTTTGATCTTCGGAATACTCGTGATCGACTTTTGTTGAAGGGCTTTAAAATAAAATGGCTATCAAGTATTTCCTCATTTTGAATGGATGCTTAGTAGAAAAGTCATTCCGTGATATAAACTAGTCATTGATATTAGCGATTTTTTAGCGCATTAGTTTTCTACTGGATAAGGTCGCTTACCCCATGCCCGACCCTCCTCCTTCTTTATGAGGGCTTGGGACTAGAGGGATTCCAGGCGTAGCCAGTCATTGATATTAGTTAGATAAAACAATTTATTGCTCAACCAAATTAAAAAACGTCGAGTTATTTAATTCCAAGTTTGCAAAGTGTATGTGATCATAATCCTTAGTCGAATTAAAATTCATTCGCCTAAAACTGAATCGACCATGATAGCCTTTAGAGTACTGAACTAATGTTTTTTGATTTTTTTGTATACAGTTAGCATCGTGAAGTGTTGTTTTAGGTTAATGTCTTGAAAAACTGACTCTTTAGTAGTTACCGCAGTTATTAACCTATGGAATTCAGTCGACAGTTTCTAAACCTCAAAATTAATTAATAAATTTGCAAACTGAAATACACGTTTTATTAATGCTGTAGAAGTGAAATACGATTGAGCTCAGTATCTGTGGTCTAGAGTTTGGGCGTTCTCGCGCGAGACCGAAGGTCCTGGAGTACAGTCCTAAGCTTGGGATTGTGAATATTGTCTGCAGAATAGTTTCATACTAGGACGAAATGCGCATCCAATGCTTTTAGGTTTACAATGACTGTCCAAAATTGATCGTTGATTCATGATTTCAATGAAAATTTATTTCAGGGAATTTTCCGGAAATTAACTCAGTTGAAAATTTAGTACATAAGGTAACGCTTCTTACTTTTCATTCACTTATCATCAATACTAAATCTCAAAAGCGTATGGTTTTACATAATATGTAAATTATTTTTCTTCCAAATCATTGAATGACAATTGTTAGTCAGATTATAAAATTATAATGAATTATCTGATTTCGACAAGATCTAAATCATTTGGTTGATCACTGGGTAGTGATCAATGTCATAGATAGAATTCGATCTGCACTAAGTAGGGCCTCATCCACTTCATCTTGATAACTTACCAACCAGCAATCAATCAACTGTAAAAGAGGAGGATTATTCACAACCTGGATAGCTCAGCGATTATGAAGCTGGGTGACACGGGATCGACTCAGTCAGTAAGATTGTGGGTACATCTTGCTGACGAGCCCCCGGGGTGCTCGAAGCCAAAGCCTAGGGTTCACTGACGACTAAATATAACAACCATCTCATATATTTGGTTTGTTTCTTCAAGTGCTTGTACACATCCACGTATAAGCACATCTGCGGTAGCTGTTAAACGTTAAGATTTTTAACTATTCCATTGTTTCACATTTTACCGAATATTTGAATATACAATCGTGTGTTCTATTTAAATACATAATGGAATTAGAATGAAAAAACAGAGTTTGATGATTAGTAAATTGTCTAGTAGAAATGAACTGTAAAAAGCGTAGACTAATTTAAGTTAATAGAAAGATGTCGCTTATTACAGTGTAATTAGTAATTAGACACTATCCATCTCTACTTATCATGATTGTGACTTAGTGACAATATTGAGGATATCCTCATAGACAGGATGAACATATGCTAATAAGACAGATCAATCACAATCCTCAGCATTAATGGGAAGATTCAAACAATCTATACAAAAACTGAATTAATGTAATTGTAGTTATCTATTTAATGTAATCTACAACTAATCAGTTCAGGTATTATATTAGGAAAAACATTCAGTGGATCGGCTTTCAAAATCAACATGAATAACGAATTTCATCAGATAACATTTTTGTCAGTGTATACAAGTATCCTTTATCCTTATTATCACTGATGATGATGATGTTGATTAATTCGTAAATTGATGTTGGTGTGAATCAAAGTTAATTGTTCAGTCAAGTAGAATTCATGTGGCAGTATGTAACACCAATCAGAAGTGTAATGCCTGGCAGCAGAAGATTGAGAAGATCGAATTGAAGCGAACAAGAATTTAAACAGAGAGCAATTGTCATAGCGATAGAATTGAAACAATCGTGAACCATGAAGAAGACAACTAAGGGAAGATGTGCAAGCACTTTATTTTATGTTTGGTTTTCATGTTATAAAAAGGCACACTCCAATTTCGCAATAAACAATAGATTGGTCTGCTCCATTGAATTCTTCGTTCACTACACACAGTCTAATATTGTGTCAACTTTCGTGATTATCGATTACCATTGATTTCTGTTTATAATTGCATTTTCTTCCTAGAATGTGATCAACATCGTGCAGTTCATAGTGGAACAAGTTCAGCAATTAGTTCATTAGTATTCGCTGATGATTATGATCTTTCTAAAGTGTCAGAAAATTCAATAAAAAGTCGAAAATCTGATCAATATAGTTCATTACACCTGATCACATCACAAACTGTATCATCAAATGAAACTAATTCACTGAATAATAATAATTCTACAATAGATGTTACGACGGTTATTACCAATATTTGTACTACTACTACTACTTCTACAACCAACATTTCAATCCCCACTGCTACAGCAATTGTTTCTAACACTGATGACATTGTTGCTCTACCTCGACAGAAAAACCCAACTAATATTGATTATGTAACTTATGATGAAACACGTTCGTATGATAAGAAAAATAACCGATTTACACTGAATAAAATTACTGACCAACGACCATATTCAATTGATTCTAACTGTAATCCGTTGAATACAAATAAGAAACTTGTAGCTGGAACAGTAACAGTTGCATCAGGATTGTTATCATCAGATCATGAAGTTCAACGTAGAATTAATACAATGAAAGGTAATTGTCTCATTTCATAGTTTGATAAACACATTTATCCGATAATACAGTCTTTAGTAAAGACGAAATGATATTAGTTCGAAAAGCAATAGTAGTCAGAAATTAGTGATCAGCTGTTTCGTCCTGGGTTAGGTTTCCTTGTCTGTACAGACTCATAATTCAACAAATTATCTAACTTACTACTTTCAGTGAACGCCTAATCATTAGATTTATTTGGCCGATAACATATTATGCAACAATAGCTTGATATGTACCGTGTAAAACTGTTGAATAATTGAGTTATTTTTCTTGATTGCTTAAACTCTTGTAATAACCCTAGGCCTAATCTACACGACAACTTGAACATGAGAGAAATGCTGCAAAATGTAGAAAGCATGCTTAACTCCAAGGTTAGTTATTTTATAGGAAATTGAAGGTATTTGAAGCATTTCAGATGAACTTGGGCATCTGACATGTACTAAAATCCTACTAAACATGGTAACACTGGAAGCAGTCATCCAATGGGAAATGTGACAAGTGACGCTTCACGATCTAGATGTCTCTGAGACACTCCTATTGAATGCTGATTGGATAAAAAGGTTTCCCAGTGTTCACAAGGCCTCTTTGGACTTTTATCGAGGACTACTCTTCATCTCTTCAACATTTACTATGAATGCTATTCATTATTTTTCTTTATTATTTCCTTCTCTATCCTTCTTTCTAAAAAAAATCATTCTCGTAGGTGATTCTGATTCACGCCCATTATCTGATGCAATGATCAGCAATCATTATTATGATTTAAATCGTAATATAAATTATCAAGAAATATCAATGGAATCATCATTACAAGAAGAGGAAAACAGGGATTCTAATCATCAATTATTATACAAATCTCATCCACCATTACCACCATTATGGTCTAATAATAATAATACTAATACTACTACTAATAATAATAATAATATGCAACATTTGAATAAAAACGACATTATTACTGCCACTACTACTACTACTAATAATAATGATAGTAGTAAGAGAAATTTTGGTTCAGTCGATTCATTATATGAAACAGTGGATTTGCCTAGAACTAATTTACCGACCTCAGTGTTAACATCGACAACAATGGTAAGTCAACAACTCATTGATTTATTTTTATATACATACTTAACATTATGTTATTTGCTAAATCGATAAGTAGTTTAACGCATATTTGTGTATTTTCAAGGGTGAACTATTTTGTAGAAAGCATAGTATACATTAAGCTGAAGGAATTTTGTATTCCTTTCATGTATAATCCAACTATGCTTTGTTCTAGCTAGATCTCGCACTTTCAGGAGTATTCATTCTAATGGTAACTGTTTGATTTCTGTTTATTTTCCTTGGCTCTTTCTTCAACTTGTCTAGTTTTATTCAAATTGAATGTGATGCTTTGCTTTGAGATGATGGCGAAAAGAAATAATAGGTAGATCATTAAGTTTTTACAAAATTTTCACAAGCAATACTATTCAAGTCAAAGTACACAATGATAAGGGAATAAGTGCAAAAAACTATTTTTTAATAAACGGAATACACCCATTATGACATTAAATGAGAAAGGAAGATTAGTTCAGCGAAGAGTCCTCTTTTCGGCGAATTCATTTTCAAAGCTGTACAATCGCAGGGTGATAATAACACTGATAATAAACATATGTTATGCATGGTGACAGTGAGGTTAAATAAACGAAAGTATTAGAAATTTTTTTTAAAACAAGGAAAGTTTGATAGTTAATTAATGGCTTAGATATTCATCGGGTAAGGGAATGATCGTGGAAATAAAAAACAAACCGGTTGGGGGTACAAGATTTGAAGGGATGATTGAAGGTGAAGCAGGTGGCTGTAAAAGAACAAGAGTATGAAGAAAGAGAAAAAAATTTAATACATTAAGACCATGGTAAAAAAATAGGTTGTACCAGTCTCTTTTGTACATATAATTCTGGTTTTTCAAAATGTATGGCTATTGCCTCGGCAATGCAAAGAAGATGCAGTCTAATTATCTGAGGAAGGCTTCTACTTACCTTGTAGATGACTTTGAACGCAGAGTCTGTCTTGATTGAGTGACCTGTGTTCACAAGGTGTTCGATTATAGAACTTCTTATTGAGCCGCTGCCTCCTCTTCTTAGCCACGCCGGACAATGTTCTTGAATTCTTTTGGATAAAGTACGCATCGAACGACCTATATACCTAGCTCCACAAGAGCAGGTAAATTGGTAAATGCACATTGAGTTGGTCAGATGCGATAATTTATCTTTCAGATTATTGGTGAACAGTGATCGGCTGGAGAATAATATTCGCAATGTTGCTGCGAAGAATGTTCTTTTTAAAGAATCTGAAATTCTCCTCTTTAAGATATATGCGGCTCTATCACCTTTGAAGTCGATGTTCATGTATAAAAACTATTTACAAATGAGAACAACTAAGAGATATGCAAGTATTGAACAAAGTGACCTGCGTGATATATTAGCACAACACATTTCGAACAATCTGATCACACATATAATTGTCAAGAACATTTATATTTAAAGATAAAAGGTCAACTAGACTGGAAATGGGGTCAGAAGAGACAAAGATAATAATAATAATAATAATAATAATAATAATAATAATAATAATAATAATAATATGAACATAATTTGAAGCCCAATCACTCTGGATTATAAACCAATATTACCAAGGAAGAGACAATGTGTTCATTTGATGTGAATTCCTTCACAAATGTACCATTTTGAAAGACTATTTTATATATTATGTGATTACATATATTTAAACAATCTTAAATTACTTGTCTCTTTAAAAATTCCTAAAGATTTGCTACTATTATGTACTGACAACGTTCAGTTCACTTTTGAAGGTAAATATTTTGGCCACATTGATAGGGTTGCTATAGGTAGTCCTTTGGGACCATTATTAGCAGATGCGTTCGTGGCACATGTTGAAAATCTGGCTGATGACCTAATCGAAAATATATCACTTAATAAGAGATCTAGGGATGATATCTTAGTTGTTTGTGAAAGAAATGAGGATATGTACTGTTTATTGGATAAACTGAACACTGTCCTAAACCATATCAGTCTCTCACGTGAAGAGGAGAATAACGATCAATTTCCCATCCTGGATATACTTCTGAGTAGACGAGATGATGGCTCAGTCAAACGATTCATTTCCAGAAAATCAATGTGTATAGGTCAGTACCTTAGTTATTATAGATATTGCCTCGTGCAGTACAAACGAAGTTTGATAAGGTACTTATTCAACAGGCTTGATCGTATTTGTATAAATGACGCTATTGATGATAATGTTAGGTTGCTAAATAAAAGAATAATGGAAAATGGCTATCCTCTGAATTTCATAAATAGATGGAAAGTTTATGGTACAGTGAGACCTACTGTAGCCTTGGTTGGAAAAAAGCCTGTCTATATCACCTTACCATTTAGAGGTGATTCAAATAGCCATTTATTGAAATGAAGGCTTAAATCAGCCATCAACAGAACGTAATGCGCAGCAAAAGTTATTATCAAATAAATAACAAGGTGCATGCTTCATCCAAAACTTGAAAGACATGAAAACGATTGTGTCACATCCCACTGTCGTTACCAATTTAAATGTCTGTGTGGTCACACATACATAGGGAGGAGCAATCGTGATCTCAAAATTAGGGTGCGTGAACAGAATATCACTAAGCGACCGGCTATTTTTGTAATTTTTTCAATAAATTTTCTTTTACCCCTTTAAAAAGGTTATTACACATTACTATCCTTGTCTCTTCTCCTATTTCCAGTCTGGTCGACCTATTATTTAAAAATATAAATGTTCTTAACAAGTATATGTGTGATCACATTGTTCGAAATGTATTGCGCTTCTATTTCACATAGTTCTGATAAACTTCGTGTTCTTATCACAATGTCGAAATTCATCAAATGGACTAATTGCATTGAAGTGAACTACTTTTCCGTCTGTCTATATAAATACAAGATAGTTAATAAATGTCAAAATATATTGTCACTTACACTGATCCATGCGAATACAACTATAACAACACAACTATAGTCAACGATCTGACCGAGGAAACGTCGAAATAAAACAAGAATAAAAGCAGACACGTTTTTAATATTGATGATACGTTGGGCTAATTAGACACTTGCCGAACGATAAGTGCATGTGACTGGCTAAGAAATGGCTTGTATTTTTAAGGAATAGGACATATATCGTTGAGGTCTTAATGTTTCTACGGGCCATATATGTATAAATGAGTATAAATACGTCCTCGATGCTGTTCTATCAATAAACTCTGTTTTCTCTCTGAGTCTTTTCATTCGAGTAAGTCGGTTGGGCTGGTTTGTAAGAAGACTTCAAACTAAAATCAGCTTTCGGATACTGCATCTCATAACAGTCTGAAATTCATGTCACACAATAATCAGTAAGTAGATTGGAATTAACTGAGTTCAAAATGTCAGTGGGAAAATGATCAGTAACGACAAGGTCACATATCAAGTGAGCAAGGAAAGTGATTAATATCAATATGCCACCTCAATAACAGCACATAGTTATAGGCAATAAACCGTACTCGAATCGTTTGTTGACAGATTAATTCAATACTGGTCACTCCTAGATAATATCTTGTGAATAGACTCTTCATAAATTTATCAGGAGGATGTTTAATTTTTATGTACAATTCGCTTGGAGGAAATTAAATGAAAGTTGTATTCTTTTATTGTTTTGTGTTTGGGGTATTAATGTTGAAGTGTTGTGGTTTTCTCGCTGTCCGATCTGTTTAGCTGCAACAAATCCTGTATTATATCAGAAGGAACTTCGTAAATCGTTGTAACTAGAAAGCGCCGTAATGATCACAATTAACAAAATTGTTTCCCCATGAAATTATCTAGGGAGTCAATGAAAGTCTCAGTATTAGATCATTTCAGTTCCAAACAGACAACATCTCATTGAAGTGTCCACTTTATTGGTTGATTGGAATAGCCTTGTAACGTTTAGTTATTTTGAAGAGTATAAGCTGTAGTTTTGGATTTTTCACCCACTTGATGAATAAACTTCCCTCATGATTGTAAGTTTTGCGTTTTCTTTGATAAGTGGTCACTGACTGAAACTCCTTTTCTCATTTTTTGTTTACTTTCAATATAGATACATCAAAAACAACATTTCATGGATTTCGGAAATATTGTCAATAGCGAACATTTACGTCAACATCGACGTAGTTGTATGGCATTACCGCCAACACCATCATCCCTATTCAATGCAAAAGCACCGATACGTTTAATCGGTGAAATGGATGATTGGAATTTGCCTAGTTGTTCTGATGATTCGGAATAACTAATTTACGGTCAAGAGAAAGGAGAAAACAATGAGAATTCTTGTATAGATCAAATATATTAAATAAAAATATTCAATTTGTAAACAATTTACAATGACAATCAATCCACCTTTTATTTATTCTCAGCTTCAATTTGATAATTCCGTATCACAGTTTTAATTAAATGAACTTCCATTCACAGTGGAAACTGCTCCCGAGTTTTACTGTGAGTATTCAAACGATGAGTTTTGGAAAACATTGATAAACATGGGTAGTTTGTTTCTCTACAAATGTATTGTACATTTTATCAATCTTATATGGTTGCAAAACCTGACGCTGTTTAGCTGAAGATATTCAGTGATCTTTCTATATTCCATTGAGTTTATGTTCCAAGACATCTTAACATTCAGTAGCGAAATCTCATCAATATTTTTGGTTTCGCAATGTGCTTTCGGATATAATGGTGATTATTCAGTGTGTTTGTGTGTGTTATCATCTTGAAACGACATATTCTGTAGCTTCTTTTAAAAACGATATTTTATAGACTTCCACGTCTACATAAAACTTGTCAATGCTGGTAATAAATGGGGAAATAAAAATCTTCGTAGCAAAACTATGGGTCTGGGTTCAATTTGTGTTAACGTATTTCAACGGTACCGTTAACTAAAACGAAGAGCTTGTCTTTTTGGTATTTCTGGGTCGTCAATGATTGTCCAAAATCAGTTAGTAGTGTAAACGTTGAAAAGTCAACAATCTTTTAATGTGATTAATTGGAAAACTATTCAGTTAACTCCACAGAATAATGATATCAATAAATGATTTCCTTCTACTTTTTTTCTTTATTTCCTCATCCTGTTCGAATGCGTTTCTCATTAGGATTACTCCAATTATGTTCTACTCTTAGCTCGACTTTTCTTAAACTGTATTGTCAAAAAAGAGCCCAGACATTGGTACCATTCAAATATACATGAATTTCATTCAGCTGTTCAAACATAAAACCATGTCATCTACTGACAACAAATTATCCACATATACCTCTTTCCATGATCCAGACCATATATATTACTTATTTCGTTATATTTTTAAACAGATTGAGAAATCCTTTACTGAACTGTAAGTGTCTTCCAACAATACACTTTCTCAGTTACTCTCTTTCTAGATAAATTCTCAGTATGTTCTTGACTTGATATTTTTTACTTTTCTGACTGTAACAGAATATTTTTATCAATCTTTTCTTTTGTTTAAATGAACATCATTTTCATTCATTGATATGTATAGCTATGAGTATGGACGTATTCCTTTTCGATGATATTGTCTTCTCTAAACTAGTTAGGTTAGTTACGAAGCTGTGAATATTCCTTGTAATTGATCCATTCATTTCAAATAGCATGTATGATAGCTGGTTGGATTCAACTGAGCTTTCAATTTTCGCGTTATACATGTCTATATATATCTACATATACTCTTCTTTGCTTCTCTATACTTCTGTCCAGTTTATTCGTATTTATATGAGTTCAGTTGGATTTTCAATTTTGGTAACACGTACACACACACACAACGTACTCAATTCATACTTGCTGTTTCTACAATTTCTTTCATTGAAACTCATCTTCACACCTTGTACATTTTTTAGTGCATAGAATCTATAAAATCAGTATGGTGCACATATCTTCTACGGCAAACTCCATTCAATGGTTTGCTTTCAAGCATTACCAAAGTGACATTTTACGTCTCTGTTTTCCTCACTTACAATTCCTTTGTTATTTATACTTTACAAATGTACACAGAAAATAACTTTGATATTAATACTATTCTCTCCTCGTCCTTTTTTACGACAATACTGAATTATGCTTGCCCACTATTTACGTATATACAAAACTATAGATAAATATCTAGTTCCTCAATGTAATTGACGTTTGGCTTGTTTCCACAATAAGGATTCAGTTGGTCAATGTTTATTGGATGGCACGCAAAGAACTATGAAACTAGGCAACTTGGTAGCTAGCACTCGTCAGAACAGCGTACCTGGTGATTCCAGGAAACTCATCCATGTGTGATTCGAACCCGCATTATTCAGATCTACAGTCAGAGTTATGACCACTGACTCACAGTTAGACTGAGTGATGATAGATCTCATGCTTATCTAATCTTTTCATGTCGATGAACCTCATCGATTAAGTTTAAATGCGGTCACTACTCTAAGTGGCTCGACGCCATGTGCACTACGTTGGGATATTAGGGGACTAAAATTAATTGGTAAAGAACCGAACACGATTGGTCACTAGTGCTTTAATTTATTAAGTTATTTTTCATAATCATAGATTAGTACTAAGTAGACTAATGAGCAGCGTACTAGATCATTGAAAGTTCGGTTGGTTCACAATTGACACAAATTAGCAGAAACCAAGTGGTTTCTCCAAACCCGTGGCCAGATACCTTCAAATATTCGTTCATCGTATGGTCATGTTGCATAAATCAGCTTTCGACAATCAATATGATTTCGGAGTTGCTCAGTTTAACTAATCTACATGGCTGATCAACGACATATGCACAACTTATATTGAACACGCAAACTGCTGGAAATACCTTATGCCATAACCAGCTTTCAGGCAATTTACTTTACAAAATACATTGAGTAAACAGTCAGTCATAATCAAAGTAGAAGCAGTCGACGAGCGTGTGCATCGGCCCACATTGCTGTATCACAATATCAACCGAGGTAATTAAGAGTCAACCAGTGTTCTTAAAAATTATCATAACACCATATATTGACAGGTGAACAAAGTCACAAATTATAACATGGACAATCAACACGAACAAAAAAAGTCACAGCAGATTAATAAATTTAACGACGTGCGGAATCAACATCACAGACCGAAGGCCCGACCGTTGTTGAAACCTTGATGAGGTCGTTGGACATGCCTATGGTAATTAACCAATCGAGCTAAACTGCCTGCGGCAGTCGTTCACCAAGGTTCTACCATGCTGAACATGTTGGTTGCAGAAGGGTAAGACTAAAAGCAGAAGGTCTGAGGGAGAAGCTGTACTGCTGACTGTACAGAGGTGTCACGGCAGACAACAAACATAACAGCGATGAAACCTTCCTACAAGGAGAAGTGGAGTTTGAAAATATCGACCCTAAAATGCACATCTCGCCTTATCTCACGGATCCCCGTTTCCAGTGGCAAGTCCCAATAATTACAGAGCCAACGCGAAAATTACTCACAAAAGGTCGTGTGTGGCCGACCTCGAGCACTTTTACCTTGGGCACTAAGGTTACGCTCGCAGGTCACTAAGGTCACTTTGTATCCATTTTCATTTTCAGGTACCTTAAGAAGAACCCTTTTACGGCATCAGAAACTGGAAAGTGGTAACTGCACACAAACCTCCGGCACCATTCAAGATCACTGTATTCATAATCAATCTCACAATCAATCAATTCCTATTATTCCAGCTTCCACGACTTTCAAATCCAAACTTTTTTCTTTAACTTTCTCCACAAGTGACATCATGGCCAACGATTCTAGTGCGCGAAGCACCGTCACAGGTCCACTGAAATCTTGCTCTTAACCTCACAGTGAAACCTGCAACATACACAACGTATTTCAAATCGGGCAGGAAGCATCCCAGGCTACAACCCTAGAATCTCTTACCATTGATTTATGCTGTGCCTCCAAAACACGCATACAGGATCCTAGTGTGGTGAATCACTTGATCTGAACTCGCCAAAACGGGGAACTGACGAGATATATCCTCCGTGTATCTGACGTCCTGATGGATAGTTTTCATGGACTGGCAGATATAGGCACGACACTGTATCTCGGGGGGGGGCAGAACAACCACTATTGGAACTGGTCTACTTTAACAGTCACCTGTATGCTATTCGGCATTTTCGTCATTTCTGCCAACGCTTCCACTGGCTGCTACCCGCATGAACTGAAAGATGATTTTTCCAGCTTGCTTTCTGAGCTTCTTCTAAAATCTTAACACTCAGAAAAAACTCGCGTGACAGGTAGGCAGCATAGATCAAACAGAAAGACTTCTAGATGGATATTTTGGTATTCTGACTCAGCGAACAAATAATGGTAGTCTTCTGCTGCAGCTGTACTCGGAAAATCATTTATTTTTAGCAAGCAGTAATTTTAGGTTTAAAGGAAGACATCGTCTAATATGGCGACACTCGCGTCACTCGCTATGTAATACCTGTTTAGACTAAGACTTTGCTCTAATACGAGGACGCGTTTGCTTGCGCCGCTCTGGATGCAAGAAAACCACATTAAATAAACCCTTCAGAGTCGAACTTAGTAACGAAGAAGTCAAAAGCACATTCCAGCAGTCACGAAAAGCAAATGAATTTCTACTAAGTCTATTGCAGTGTTCAGATTCCGCATATTCATCACTTCAGGCTCTGAACACGACGAATAGCGAAAGCAAATCAGATCTAGGTTGTGCAAAAGTTCAAATAACGATCATGAGCAGTGGGAGGCAACGAAAGCAAAAGATATGGAAAAGTCCGTTACTGTAGATAACAAAAGATAGTTTTTCAGACTAATATAAGAAACTGGAATTAAGAAGTCAAGTGTAGAAGAAACTATCTGAGAAGAGGAATTCACTGTTATCTACCCTCAGCCCAGACGTTCAGAACGATGTGTGGAACACTTTAAGAGGCGGTTCAGCTACTTTAACACCACCCACCATTCCCAGACAACTTGAATGGAACATTGAGGTAGGTCCTTCAATATTTACGTTCAATTTTATTTATAAAAGGAAGTCTAAAAATTATCATAGTGTACCATTGTTTGTTTCAAAAAGTGACAACTTCCACATCTTTTCACTGATAATTACCATGTTCTCACTAGTATTTATCTACTTATTTGAACACATAATATTAGTATAATAGGGCACCAAATATATATGCGCTACACAAAACAATGCGAATTTAAGGAGAAGAAAAGTAAAAGAGAACAGTAACCAAAATATTAGTGCACTGTTACGTACTTACTTACGCCTGTTACTCCTCGTGATGGAGCATAGGCCGCTCACCAGCATTCTCCATTCAACCCTGTCCTGAGCAATCCTTTCTAGCTCCGTCCAGTTGTAATTCATCGTTTTCATATCTGCTTCTATTATCCGACGCAATGTGTTCTTTGACCTTCCTTTTTTCGCTTCCCTTCAGGATTCCAAGTTAGCGCTTGCCTCGCGATGCAGTTTGACGATTTGCGTAATGTCTGTCTTATCCATTTTCATAGTCTTTTCCTAATTTCTTCTTCAGCTGGAAGTTGGTTTGTTCTCTCCCAGAGAAGGCTAATGCCGATTGTATCCGGCCAATAGATGTTGAGTATCCTGCTAAGACAGCTATTTATAAATACTTGTACTTTCTTGATGGTGGTTATTGTAGTTCTCTAAGTTTCAGCTCCTTACAGTAGAACAGTCTTGACGTTCGTATTGAAGATTGTGACTTTGATATTGGTTGAAAGTTGTTTTGAGTTCTATATGTTCTTCAATTGTAGGAATGCGGCCCTTGTTTGCCAATAATTTACGTCTGCATCTAAACCTCCTTGTTCATCGATGATGCTTCCTAGATATGTGAAGGATTCCACATCTTCCAGAGTTTCGCCATCAAGAGTGATTGGATTGCTGTTCTCCTTTTTGAATTTGAAGACCTTGGTTCTTCCTTTGAGTATGTTGAGGCCCATTGATGCAGAGCCTGCTGCTACATTAGCTGTCTTCATCTACATCTGTTCGTGTGTACGCGATTTGAGGGCTAGGTCATCTGCGAACTCCAAATCGTCTAATTGATTTTGAGCTGTCTATTGTATTCCGTGTTTTCCTTCAGATGTCGAGGTCCTCATAATGCAGTCGACCGCAAGAAGAAAAAAGAAGGGAGAGAGTAACCAGCCTTGTCTGACTCCTGTACTTAATTGGAATGCATCTGTCAGCTGTCCTCCATGCACGACTTTGCATTGTAGTCTCTCGTATGAGTTCCGGATAATATTGACAATCTTCTCAGGAACTCCGTAGTGTCGAAGAAGTTTCCATAACGTCCTTTTATCCACACTGTCAAATGCCTCTTCCTAATCAATGAAGTTGATGTATAGTGATGAGTTCCACTCAAATGATTGTTCGACGATGATCCGTAGTGCTGCGATTTGGTCTGCGCACGACCGATCCTTACGGAATCCAGCTTGTTGATCTCGCAGTTGAGCGTCTACTGCATCTTTCATCCGGTTCAGCAACACTCTGTTGAAGACCTTCCCTAATATTGACAGTATTGTAATGCCTCTAATTTCCACATTTATTCAGATCTCCTTTCTTTGGAATCTTGACGAGGTACCCTTCTTTCCAGTTCATCGGCACTAGTTCCTCCTCTCAAATCTTTTTGAATAGAAGGTGTAGCATGTTTGTAGTTACTTCGACGTCTGAATTCAGTGCTTCAGCTGGTATTTTGTCCGGTCCTGCAGCTTTCCCGTTCTTGATTTGTCTGACGGCCATTCTGATTTCTTCCTTCGTTGGTGGGTTGACGTCCATAGGAAGATCTGTGTGTACCGCTTCGAAACTGATTAATTAGATTAAGTAAAACCAATAGCAGTGAGTCAGTGACGAAATAAACAACCACTCAGTGTGTTTGTTTAGGACCCATATTGTATTGTTTATCTCATATTAAAAGGATTTAGCTGAAGCTTTACAGTACGTTTGAAGTAGTTCACATTATCCTGTCAATGATACGTCCAATGTAGAGACACCCCAGTTCTCTTTATGATAACTACCATCAATTAATATCGTTTATCAATTGAAGTTGGTTAGGCGCTCAACGCAAGACCTTATGATCCTGGGATCCTATAGCCTCACTGTTTAGTTGTCACATACTAAAAAGAAACATCTGTCTCTCCAGTGTTTCCTTGTTTT